TGTCAGGGTAGAACTGTGCTCCACAAGGTTTTCAAGACTATGACCTTTCAGAAACAGATCTCCAGGCCTTTCTTCTGAGTCACCTCTGGATGGGTTTGAACTGCCAACCTTTCGGTTAGGTTAGTGTTCAAGCACTTGATCATTTGCACCACCCAGGGACTCCACAGCAACCCTACCCCATCTTAAAGACCTTGTCTGTCCCATGGGCCAAGAGAGTTCACTCTGATCGCTCCCTGGACCAACAACCTGTACAGCTCACCATGTTTAAATGTCCAGCTCTATCCTTTAAAACACATAAATTCTCAATTATAGGCCATCTATTTTTTTTTCTTTTTTTGCAGAATTCTAGGCTCTGCTTAAAGGCTTTTCAGCACATATAGGACTACAGCACAATAGCAAACCACCAAATAGTTGCAAATATTTATACACAGCATCCAGGTTAGCCCAATGCGGGGAGATGGGAGAGGGGTCTCATGGACATTCAACTTCCACTTGGGATGACTTACCTCCCAAATGGGATGGCCAAAACCGCACTAGGCCACATCAAGTAGGTAAGGAGACAGGCAATCGTTCCAAACAAGAGCAATACAATCCAAATACCAAGGATATAGAATTTCCCTTCAACTACTGTTAGCCTGTGAACCAGTGGACTCCGATCCTTTTCGGTCAGAACTTTCCATCTTAATTTTTTTAAGTAATTTTAAGTCCCAAGTTCTAAATTCGGTTAAAGAAAAGGGCGGGGGGTGGGGGGGATTCTGATTACACTGAATGGTTTTTAAAGCTGACATTTTATTTCATTGTCTATGGATTCCATTCACCAATTTACAAAAGGACCAGACCATATTTAAAGGAGGTCAGTTTCCACAGTTTCTAAAACATTCAGTTGTGCACAGGTATAGATTACATATTAGTATAAGGCTGATTGGTGCTTTGACATTATACCCTAAAACTCTACCAGAGAATTTTACAATGGAATAGACATTACAATAGAGTATTGCCACATTTTTTTAATGTTTCAAATCATACAGGCATGTAGCCTGATTATAATTGTCTGAATGCCCTGAAAGTCTTATTTATCTAATAAAACATCACAATTCACAGCAGGCTTCAATTACATCTAATGCACTATAAATTCAGAAGTCCACAGGGCACCATGTATTTCAACGTTTCAGTCAAAAACTCTGTGTGCCATAGCTAAAGCTCCGTTCCAAATTAGTGAATTAATGAGGTGTTTAGATCCAACATTCAAAAGACCCAACTATCCAGCTATCTAGCTCCTGAATTTACCAGCTCTAGTATATATTTTTTGTAGTCCTGGTGGTGCAGTGGTTAAGAACTCGGTTGCTAACCAAAAAGGTCAGCAGTTCAAATCCACCAGCCACACCTTGGAAACCCTATGGGATAGTTCTACTCCATCTTATAGGGTCGCTATGAGTCGGAATCGACTCAATGTAATGGGTTTGGGTTTTGGTTTTTTATTGTATTTTTTGCTATTGAAATGTAGTCATTCAACTATATTTACCTGTATTTTTAATTATTAGTTAAAAGCTCTCGCACTATATCCTGAATACGATCAAAGAAAAGTTTTATACTATGTGAGAAAAAAATAAAGTTACAATACACAGTGATAAAGTTGTAAAGTTTTCTACACCCACGTTGCAGAATCCTATTGAACTTGGTGATAAATATCTTGGACAAATAAATATGCTATCTTTCGTAGTGAGTCTGGCATAACTACATTTTTTACTTCTATATTATTGTTGTTAGGTGTCATCGAGTCAGTTCCAACTCATAATGACCCTATAGGACAGAGGAGAACTGCCCCATAGGGTTTCCAAGGAGCGGCTGGGGGGTTTGAACTGCCGACCTTTTGGTTAGCAGCTGAGCTCTTAACCAGTGTGCCACCAGGGCTCCTTACTTCAATACATACACCCTGATAAACATGAAGCCACAGTTTTCTATGTAGAAAAGATAAAACACTCCAACCAAAAAAAAAAAAACCAAACCCCTTGCCATCCAGTTGATTTCAACTCATGGTGACCCCATGTACAGTATTACGGAGTAGAACTACATCATACGGTTTTCTTGGCTGTAATCTCTATGGAAGCAAATCACCAGGCCTTTCTTCTGTGGTGCCACTGGGTGGGTTCAAACAGCCAAGCTTTTAGGTTAGCAGCAATCACACATCGCTTATGTCACCCCGGAATCTATGATAAACACCCTATTGTTGTTGGGTGCCCTCGATTCCGACTCATAGTGACCCTATAGGACAGAGTACAACCGTCCCATAGGGTTTCCAAGGAGCAGCTGGTGGATTTGAACTGCTGACCTTTTGGTTAGCAGCCGTAGCTCTTAACCACTGCGCCACCAGGACTCCAATCAACACCCCAGGCCTTCCTAAATACTCCACCGAATAATTTAGACCATTGGTACTTTCTATTCCCAACAACTTATGGAATGATCCGTATATTAACTGGCTAGACGTTCAAGTTCCATAATGCAAACTCTCCCAAAAATGGCAGAAAATTCGGCATCCTCTATTCAGTCAAAAACAATCTAAAAAACACAACACTCAAGGCAAAGGAACAATTTAGAAAATACTTCTTTTACATAAAGAAAAAAAAAAGTGACAAGAAAAATCAGAAATAGTCCCCAAATGTGGCTTTGCACACTGGGGAACTCTGCTCATCTGTTCACCAGAAATACTGAAGAAGGAAAGTTTGACTCATGTAAAGAGGGTTCTAGGGACATTTCGTGAGGCCTTAACTAACTGTCCATCACTTCCCTTAAAGTCATCTTGACTGGGAACAATGGGAATCAAAACTTCTGGTGGTTAACTCAGGCCCTCTCGTCCCTCACTCAATTCGCTAGTGCTGGGAAATACCCCTTAGCCTCGTTTATTTGTGAGAATTCAGTGCTTCTCACGGCAGCACCTCAAGACGTCATAAATAGTGATTTATTATTTCTCTGGAGTATCCAAAAGCTGCTGACCTAGGAGAGTTTGACAAAGGCCTTGTTTGCAAAGAAAGACTTCTAAAGAAAAAAAAAACAAACAAAAAACCAGCAGACAGCGCCACTTTTACAATTTATGAAAGTCTTCTCTTTTATGGTCTTGCTACAACACATAGTAAGCCTTTAAAATGAAATATCCGAACAATACAGTAATCTGAGGGGGATCACAACTAACCTCCTGGGGGAAAAAAAATGAGATATGCTTTTTTATACCGATCTGCAGAATGACTTCTCTTAATCAAAGAAAAAACGTTTTCAATAATTATCTGCCAAAGTACTACGGTCTAGCTCCAAAATTTTAAGCAGAATTCAAGCATTCACAATATAATGCTAGCTGAGGCGCTTTTTATTTTTTTTTTGTCAATTCCAAGCCTCAGGTGTTGGTCAAAGAACTTTTCAAGAAACTTGACAAGAAATGCTCAAAAACCACTTTAAAACCGAACAAAAGAAAAGATCTAAGGCTGCTTTGAACACACTCTTGCGGTGAATATTTTCTGAGACACCACAGTGCAGCCAGTCCGGATGCTGGATGTAGCTGCTAAGGGGGGCGGCTGCCTTGACGAAAGCTCTCCCTCACCAGGGCCAGCTCTTCACGGGTTCTCATACCCCAAACTCCTCATTTATTTTAAAATGGTCTCTACCAGTATGGTATCTCTCCTTAATGCCTCCAACAAAGCAGTAGGACCTCTAGTCTGCTGGGTATTCCTCAATCTACTTCAATAAGTATCTTTTGAATCTAAGAGGTTATAGGAGAGCTTAAAAAAAAAAAAAAAGGTCCAGGAGAATAAAAAGGCGATTAGATCCCTAAAAGAGAAAGTGTGTCTCATTTTGCATAACAATGCACCGACTGGAATTCAAACCGGCCACACCTCCGAACACCTCACCAGCGTGCAAGACCTTCCCGGGGAGCCTTACAAGTCCAGTCAGTGATCGCGAACAAGCCTAGGATACCCTCCCACCAAAAGAACCGATGAAAACAATTCTTAAAACATGAGAACATGCGTCTGTCAATACATTTACACCCCTAACATTGGAGACGGCCTCTAGTTTGGTAGCCAGTAGTTACTGAGTCTCTGGTAGTTGGTCAAGAATTTTCTTCTACTCAATACTCAACCAACACCCTTTTTGTTTATACAAGCAAGGCACACCATCAGGTCTAAGAAAAGAGTCCTTTGAAATGGAAGTTGAAAATTTAACTCTGCTATTGGTAACGCATAGACGTTAAAAATAGCCAGCCACTGCAATAAACCAGCAAACGTGTATCTTTAATTTCTTCATGTTCGATCTGACATTACACCTTCAGCAAGTGCTTAGAAATACACGTCTCCATAATGACCAGAGGTCAATGACATCGTTCCATAAAATACTAACTCGGGTCGCTTGCTTTTGCAAAACGCCCTACCTCCACCAGGCTAAGGAAGGGGGGAAAGGGCGACCACCTTGCAAAACTCTCCCAAAAGTTATATAAACAAAAGAGGGGAGCAGCCCGGCGTGGGCTCTGCACCCATGTGCTACTAAAATTACGTAACACACGGTGCTGACATTAACTAAGCAGTGGATTCTGCACAACACCCCCACTCCCTCGCCGCTCTCCTTCCCGGAGGGGAAAAAAAAAAACCCAAACGCCTGGCAAGGCGAACCTGACGGTTTTGAGCACTGATATTATGGCTGGGTAAATCCTGCGAGAGTTCGAGGCGCATTTAGGCCCGAAGTTTGAACGTGCAACAGCCCCACGGCGCAGCGACTCGAACTCCTCCCCAGACTGGAGGAGGAAGGACTGACAGTGGCGGGCGAGGCCTGCTTCCCCCCTCCCCGGGGCCTCCCGCTGGAAAGTTTTACACGCCATCGATCGCAGTACCGAGAGCCCGTGTCCCCCGCCGGCCTGACTTTGCAGGAAAAGCGAGCCAGCCGGGAGAGCGGAGGGGGCCGGCGGAGAAAGCGATGGAAAGCTCCGCGCATAGCGGGCGGCGGCGGCACAGGCTCCTTACCTGGGGGCGCGGAACAAAAAGCGGCGCTGGGCTCCCGGGTCGGCGGGGACGACGCCGTGGTGGCCGACGCGGGGCTTGGTGGTGAGCGCTAGGCCCGCGCCCGGGGCCCGGCCCCCGCCGCTTCCTCCCGGGCGCGCGTCATGTCACCGCGATCAAACATGTCTGTGCGCTTCGCCGCGGTGACTTCCTGATTCTCGCCGCCCGCGCGCGCACACACTCACACTCACAGCCACGCGCACACGCCGGCCGCCGCCCGCCTCCCGGGCCTCCCCGGCTCCGAGAGGCAGCCTGCGCCGGTTCCCGGAGCCCGGCACACACTCACACTCTCGCGCGTACCCGCCGGCCGCGGGGCTCGCCGCCCCTCCGCCTGGCGCCGCACTTGGCCGCCCTGCCAAACTTTTTTTTCCTGCCTGATCCACAGCCAAGTTCCCGGCGCCCCGCCCCACCCCCGGCAGCCCGGCTGGCCCCGCGCTCACCACCAGCCGCCGCGCACGGCCACCGGATCACCATCAGAAGGCGAGCCAGGCGGCGGGGGCGAGCGCGCAGACACTGGCAGGAGGCGATTTCCCCGCGCGCACCGGAAACCGGCCCTGAGTGCCCGGGCCAGGGCGCGGGGTCCCCGGAGCCCGCACTGCTGCGCCCGCCCCGCGCGGGGCAACGGCGCCAGGGCTGCGTGGCCTGGTGTGGCCAACCTCGGGCACCTGGCTCGGCGTGCGCCCTGCGGCCAGAGGGCGCCGAGGGGCGGGCGTGCCAGCCAGGTTATTTGGGGAAGTGCATCGCGACACCTTTGCAGATGGCATGGCCGTGTTTTGCAAGGCCGAACGGGATGAGGGCAGGCAGGCAGCCAGGTGGCGAGGGAGAGCCGATGAAGGGGCTGACTCGGTTGGGATGAGAATAAACCAAACTCGAAAGCAGGGAGCGAGGAGGAAGGGGTGCGTGTCATCGTTGGGAGGAGGCTCCCACCCGGTCTCCCCGCCTCCCGCCCTCGCCACCCCCCCGCTATCCCTCCCCTCGCAGCCCTTCCCCTTACCCGGCGAACGCCACCGCCTCTGCCCGGGTGCGCGCGGGTCCTGTTTGTGACAGACAGGCAGAGAGGATTATCCGGATCATGGCCTCCCGGCCCGCAGCCGCCGAGGCTCTCCCGGGCCCCCGCGAGCCTCCAACACGCGGACGATCGCGGGCGCTCCACGCCCGCGGTCCTCGCGGTACTGACAAGGGGACGACGTGAAGCATAAGAAAACAGACCCAAGGAAGGGGAGGGCAAAGAAACCGAGCCCGGCGGGCACCTCCGACCTCCCTCTCCGGGCTTCTCCCTCCCTCCCAGCTTGCGGCCCGAGCCGGACACCCAGAACTTCAACACCCAAGCCCGCGCGGTCCCCAGGAACCGGGCGCAGGGACTGCCGCAGCGCCCGGGGGGCAGCTCCTTGGCAGCCCCGGTGCCCACAGGCCTGCCCACCAGTCAGCGCCCCCATCCCCGCCCGAGGAAACGCGGGAAGTGGAGGTGACACTTCCGATCCAGCACGCACCGGCCCCGCGATAGTGGCTGTCGCTTCCCAGTCGCGCCAGCTCCGGCTCTCCCGCCGCGGTGCGCTCTCTCGCGTCCCTGCAGCCCGAGCCCTTTAACAAGTCCCCAGGAGCGGGTGGCAGCCGCGCTTGCTGGCGCGCTGCCGCCCGCGGGCTCCTCGCCCTCCAGCGCTCCTTCCAACTCTTCCGGGGAGGACTGCTCAGGGTGGACGGTCGCGTTTGCATCCTCCTCCCGTATCCTCCTGCCACACCCCCACCCCAGGTTTTTAAGGGGCAGGGGGCATTGCAACCTTGCCGAGTGTGTGTGTGTGTGTGTGTGTGTGTGTCTGTGTGTCTGTGTGTCTGTGTGTGTGCGCGTGTGTGTGTGTTGCAACCTTGACTTGGCACCGCATCGCGCACTGCCTCCCCAGGGTCAAGGCTGTGGTTTGGTGCTTGTTGTCTCTCCTTGCCCCCTTTGAGTCGCAGCGATCCCTGTTATTATTAGCACGGCCAGGCTCAGTGGAAACTTTCCCGTTTCTTCCACGACCGCTGGGAGCTGTCGTTAGCGCATTCCACCTGAGGCCCGCGGGGAGGAGGCGGGCTTTTTTTGTTGTTGTTTGGCGCTCGGCCCGCCTGTTTGTTTTGGTCTCCGTGCATGCACAATAAATAATCATTAGGATCATAATGCATAATCCCCGGCGCAGGCGGCGGGGCCCGCGGGTTTGCGCGGCGGCTGCGGCGGCGGGGAGGCCGGAGGGAGGGGACCGCGGAGAAAGGAGTTGTAAGTTATATTTACCTTGCTCGCGCGGAGTGTGCTGGCTGAATCCCTTCCCTCTCTGAGTCACCCAGAGTACAGAAACAGAGCGAGCGAGGACTCGATTATGAATATGACTTCATTGATGACAGCCGTCCCCTCCTCTTCCTAAACTCGAGCTCCGCCCCGCGTCCCACCCTCGCCGCCTCCGCGGGCGCCGGAAGACGCGCCGCAGTTGGCCCCGCGCGCCGTTCCTCCCTGCGCGCCCGGGCGCGGGTTGGCCGGGCGCGCCTGTCACTCGCGCCGCTCAGCGACTCCGGGCGTGCGGGGGGGGAAGGGGGCGGTGTGCAAGAATGTGGCTCGAGACAGCTCGGCCGTGTGCGTGGATCCGTGTGTGTCTGCGAGGCGCCGGCCCGCTGCCGCGCTTGTGCCTGGGGCAGATCCATTGCGCAGGACACACCCGGCCCCCAGCCTGCTGGAGTTGGGCACCCGCGGTCCCTTCCCCGGCAGGCCCCCTCCCGGGGCGCCGCGGGGCTCCTCCGGGGAGGCTGGAGGAGAGGAGGAGGCGCCGCGAAAGGCAGGGCAGCCGTAGTAATAGTGCGTAGTAGTTTGGGGTATGTGAAGAAGGTGCTGGAATTTAACTGTGCCTCCGCCTGCCAGAGCCAGCCTGCAGAGAGAAAGGGAGGGGACGAGGGGGAGGGCTCCGAGTGGCACCAAAAGCTTGTTGACCAAGGGGAAAAGGGGCATTGTCGTGCCGGCGGAAACTTTGTCTCTCCCTCCCCACCCCACCCCCCACGCCGGCTGTAATTATAAATCTGTTCCTTTTCCCCCCCGTAAAAAAAAAAAAAAAAAAAAAAAGGAGGCGGGCACAAAGAACATGCCTGCCAAATCTTCTCTTCTCCAAAGAACTGCGAGCTTCCAAATGCCAGCGAGGGAGAAACAGCTGAGAGGCTGAACGCCTTATAAATAAATAAACCCTCCCTAACCCCTAGGAGTCAGAATCGATTCAAAGGCTATGGGTTTGGTTTTGGTTTAGGAACCTGTCTGTCTGTTTACTCCGCGGACTCGACTCAGCATTTTAACTTTCCCTCACCTGTCATCTTCGCCTACAATATACACAAAAATATGGTAAACAAACCCCACTGTCCCGAATGGGCTAGGGGCAGTTAGAGAACAGAATCTGCTTTTGATTTAAGAAGGGAAATAAAATCTCTTATTCTCTGCAGACCGCTGTGTCGTCTTCCCCACCTTACTTTTAAGACCAATTACGGCGACAGACATTAAGCTGTTGGCATTTTGCGATTTAAGACCCCTTGTCCCAATTTTTCCTGGAAAAACAGGACTTTGGTGTTTGCTGAGACCATTTCACTTTTAGTTTTATGAGGTGTGGAAGAATGTTAGGAGATTTTAAATCAGGGGCCTATTGTTTTAGACTCAGATTAATGTAGGTGCTTGATTCTTAAAATTGCAGCTGTTCGTATGTGGTGGTGTTATGAAAAGTACGATTTATCCCTTATTTTGTAATATAATGGTTTAAATTAGTCATTCAAAGTGCACTGTGACTCTTTAGTTGAGGATTTTTCCCCCTAGAGTAAAATCCTATTTTAAGACCATTTTACTGTTGCAAAATTGACTATGTTTGAGCAGTCGGGTCTGAAATGCCTTTCCAGGATGCTCAGAACTATGCACTGGACAAGTCCAAGACCGGAGACAATGGCAAGAACTCCAAATGCTCGCTGTGGTCATTAAGTGGCCGATATTGTTTACATAGCTAGGCCACTGCTTGCTGAGGCCCAGTCTGTAAGGGCACCATTTTACGGTGGCTAGGAGTATCAATTATCACCCATTCTAGCGTTTTCCAAGGCGTTGTTACATGCTTGTTAACTTTAGCGTCATAATTTTCTCTCTATCCCAAAGCAAACCTGAAGACAAGAAAACATAGCACATCTAAGAGAAGAGTATGCTGTGAGACCTTGTTTTGCTGCCTGAGGACATGCCAATCTAACTATTAGCTGAGAAATATATAGTGAGAAATCTTAAGCAAAGCTAGCAATGTAGTAAAAGCATAATAAAAATATTAACCGACTTCTAACTGCCTAATAAATTACAGCTAATCACAGAGTTGAAGAGGAATGGTGTCATATTCATAGTCAAAAAGAACATACCAAGATCTGTCCTGAAATACGATGCTGTCAGTAAAAGGATAATGTCCATACACCTGCAATGAAGACCAGTTAAGATGACTATTATTCAAATTTACTCAACCAACCACTAATGCCAAAGATAAAGCAATTGAAGATTTTTACCCAATTCTGCAGTCTGAAATTGATCAAACATGCAATCAAGATGCATTGATAATTACTGGTGATTGGAAAGCAAAAGTCAGAAACAAGAAGGATCAGTAGCTGAAAAATATGGCCTTGGTGATAGAAACCATGCGGGAGATCACATGATAGAATTTTGCAAGACCAACGACTTACTCATTGGAAAAACCTTTTTTCAACAACATAAACAGTGACTATACATGTGAACGTGGCCGGATGGAATACACAGGAATCAAATCAACTATATCTGTGGAAAGAGAAGATGGAGAAGTTCAATATCATCAGTCAGAACAAGGTCAGAGGCCAACTGAGGAACAGAACATCAGTTGCTCCCATGCAACTTGAAGTTGAAGTTGAAGAGAATTAAAACAAGTCCATGACAGCCGAAGTATGACCTTGAGTATATCCCATCTGAATTTAGAGACTTTCTCAAGAATAGATTTGACATACTGAACACTAATGACCAAAGACCTGACGTGTGCAATGACATCAAGGACGTTATACATGAAGAAAGCAAAAGATTAAAAATACAGGAAAGCAAGAAAAGACCAAAATGGGTGTCAGAAGAGACTCTGAAACTTATTCTTGAACATAAAGTAGCAAAAATAAAAGGAAGAAATGATGAAATAAAAGAGCTTGTCTTAGTCATCTAGTGCTGCTACAACAGAAATACCGCAAGTGGATGGTTTTAACAAAGAGAAGTTTATTTCCTTACAGTAAAGTAGGCTAAAAGTCCAAATTCAGGGCGTCAGCTCCAGGGGAAGCTTTCTCTCTCTGTCAGCCTTCTCATCAACGTTTCCCCAGACTAGGAGCTTCTCGGCGCAGGGACCCCGGGTCCAAAGGAGACTCTCCGTTCCTGGCACTGCTTTCTTGGTGGTATGAGGTCCCCCTGTCTCTCTATTCACGTCTCTCTTTTAT